CCAACTGGTGTTTTGACCCAAAAATTCTACTCTTTCCACAGACTCTAGTGTGAACATTCACAGGGGTGACTTAACATTTCTCAATATTGTGAACTGATCTTAGTTCTGAGAAACCGTTCTGACTTCTGTATCTGCGATTTTCTCAGAACTAAATATGTTAACAGGATTAGCATCAGATAAACCACCATTTTAATCCTTTGCACATCTTCCTCAATGTCTACTTCTTTCCTAAAACTTACAGACTTCCAAAACTCCAGCCGGTAATTACTTAGCCACTACTTTGTGAAGTACACAATGCCCCGATTTACTTCTGTTGTGCTACACTCCATCTGCAACCCCACCACACCCTTGATATCGATCACATGTCAGAAAGTAGATGGGGAATATCAAAATCAACAGAATGACTGCATCCTCCCTTTCCTGCCTTGATCAGTGTCATGTGAACATTAATAGAAAGAAAGACTTGTCTTCTAGAATTGCTTTTTGTGACCATAAACCCAAAAAGAACTCACTGAAGTGTAACTGCTGTAACAAACAATATTCCCACACATAACAATGTAATATGACCAAATAACTTTTTTTAAAGAACAGCGGATGCAGGAAATCTAAAACAGATACAGAAATTGCTGGAGAAATTTAGCTGATTCTGGCAGTATTTGTGGAGAGAACGCAGGGTTAACGTTTTGGGTCTGATCACCCTTTTTCAGAACTGATAATAGTTAGGAAAAGCTGTTATATACACTGAAAACACAGGGCTGGGGGGTAAAGGAGTAAGCAATAGGTGGAGGTGGAGCCAGATTAAGAGAAAGTTGCACAAACAGAAGGATTGATAAAAGGTAAGCCAGGGAGAAAGACGAGTTACTAATAGGGACCACGAGTGAGTTTATTCTTTATTTATTCATTCACGGGATGAGGGCGTCACAGGCAGCATTTATTGCCCATCCCTAATTGCCCAGAGGGCAGTTAAGAGTCAACCACATTGCTGTGGGTCTGGAGTCACATGTGGGCCAGACCAGGTAAGGATGGCAGATTTCCTTCCCGAAGGGACATTAGTGAACCAGATGGGTTTTTCCAACAATGGATTCACGGTCACCATTAGATTCTTAATTCCAGATATTTTATTGAATTCAAATTCCACCATCTGCCATGGCAGGATTCAAACCCAGGTCCCCCAGAACATTATCTGGGTCTCTGGATTAACAGTCCAGAGATAATACCACTAGGCCATCGCCTATGGGTTGGCATGAAAATGGGTTGGCAGTGCTGAAAGCAGCCCATATGATATCAGGTCTGGCGTGTTAAGGGGTGGGTAAAGGACATGGGAGAAGGTGTTTAGGCCTGCAAATTATTGAACTCAGATTCATAGAATCATAGAGTTCCTACTGTGCTGAAAATGACTCCTGAAGACTGCAGGATCCTCAACTGGAAAATGAGATGCTGCTCTTCCACCTTATGCTGAGGTTCACTGGAGCATGGTAGCAGACCTGAAACAGAAATGTTGCCCGGGGAACACGGCGGTGTGTTAAAGTGGCCGGGAGCAGAAAGCTCAAAGTCATTTTTGTGGACCAAATGTAAGTATTCGGGAAAACTGTTGCCCAGTCTCTCTTGCACTTATTATCTAGTCTACAATCTCGACCATCACCCACCTCCTTCTTACTAATGGTATAACTTCTGGGAACCAATCCTATAGTCCCCAGTTACTGTCTGATCCAGGGAGAGGTCCATTGCAGTTTATGTTGATGACGCCTGGTTGTGAATATTACTAGGGTCACCACATGCACCAGCAATCAGCTCTTTCTTTTAACTATCAAGACTATTATATTCTCTTACACTTATTTCTCTCTCCACAGATCTACTGAGTTTCTCTAGCATTCACTGACAACTGTAAACTGTAACTGTTGTTAAATATCAGAGAGGTCTGGTCAGATTCTGTCCTGTTAGTTAACAGCTTATTCTGGAACTCCTTCTTGAACAGAGCTGTGAGTGAACCTATGCCATTTGGACTGCAGCAGTTTAAGAACATATCACAATCTTATGACAGGCAAATAGGGAAGGAAATACATGTTGTTATTGCATGGACACTCATCTCATTTGAGCAAATAATGTGGAGGTGCCAATGTTGGACTGGAGTGAACAAATTCAGAAGTCACACGACACCAGGTTATAGTCCAACAGGTTTATTTGGAATCACACAAGCTTTTGGAGCGCAGCCCCTTCGTCAGGTGCAGTGACAGAGCAGGGCACACAGACACAGAGTTTATAGGCAGAGAGATCAAGGGCAGAGAGAACAAAAGATCTCTGTGTCTGTGTGCCCTGCTCTCTCACTGCACCTGACGAAGAGGCTGCGCTCTGAAAGCTTGTGTGATTCTAAATAAACCTGTTGGACTATAACCTGGTGTCGTGTGACTTCTGAATTTGAACAAATAACACAAATTATTACTTATTTCATTAGCTCATGGTTACTCTCCAATTCTACTACAATTTTTTAACTTCTACTGTGAAGACACCAACAAAATATTAGCTCAGTCAGTGTCATTTCCTCACACCCCCATGATAATTTCTTTTGTTTCTGTCCCTAACTTCGCTTAATCTCCTCGTTATGCACTTGTTAAAAGGTATTACAATTTGTTTATATCTCTGGCTGTTTTAATCTAATACACCATTTTTAAGTTTTTTAAAATCAATTTTGGGTCACCTTTTGCTTGTTCAAAAATTCTCCCAAACACCAGGAATAGTACTGTCTTTTGCATTAAAAAAGCCACTGCTTTCAACCTCATGCAAATCTCAACTTTCCTGGTTAATCACATTTTTCACTGTTTATTTACCACCATATCCTTTAGTCTATTTAACCTAAGTTAGCTCCCCTGACACTGAGGTTTTGACTACATAGAACAGTACAGTATAGTACAGGCCGTTCAGCCCATGATGTTGTGCCAACCTATTATCCTACTAAGATCAAACTACCCTGCATACCCTACATTTTACTATCCTCCATGTGCCTATCCAAGAGTCGCTTAAATGTCCCTAAAGTATCTGACTCCACTACCACTGCCGGCAGCACATTCCACCCGCCCACCACTCTCTGTGTGAAGAACCTACCTCTGACATCTCCCCTATACCTTCCTCCAATCACCTTAAAGTTATGACCTCTTGTCATTTCCGCCCTGGGAAAAAGTCACTGACTATCCACTCTATCTATGCCTCTCATCATCTTGTAAACCTCTATCAAGTCACTTCTCATCCTTCTTCGCTCTAAAAGCTCTGTTTAAATTAAGGCTCTGTTTAAATTTAAGATTCTTGGTAAGGATTAAAAATGCTGCTTTTTTTTGCTATGAGTTCATTAATTAATCCTATTTCATTACATAATACTAGATCGAAAATAGCTTTTTCCCAAGTTGCTTTCACAACATATTGTTCCAGGACACAGTTACAAAAGCATTCTACAACGTGGACTCTCAGAAAATGTGGGACAAATTAATTTTCTATATGGAGATCAAAATTCCCCTACAAATACTGCATTGCCGTTTGTGAACTACAATTGTTTCTTGTTTCCTTTGTCCAATGGTGCAATTGTAAACTACAAACTACTCCCATCAATGTTTTCTGTCCTTTGTTACACTTAGTCTCCACCCAAACTGATTATACTTCTGTTAGAGCACTCACTGATTTTTCATTACTTTTGCTGCATTCTTTTATCAGTTTTGGTTTGGAGCCGTGAACTGGCAACTGTGAGATAAAGATGACTTTCAAACTGTGGGTAACAGCATGAAAAAAGCAAACAAGCTTTTGTTTAGCTGAGGCCAGGTCTGAAAGTTAAACACAGGTTGGTTCTTGATCCAAAGGTTTGGCAGGTACTTCGTCAGCACAGAACAGCAGTACGTTTAAGCAGATAGCAGAAATTTCTCTTCATCTTTCAATTATGATTCCTGGTTCTGGACTCTCCCACCATCAGAAACATCTTTCCAGCATGTAACCTAATCCTTTTAATAGATAAATAAAAAAGTGAAGAACTGCAGATGCTGGAAATCAGGAACAAGAACAGAAATTGCTGGGAAAACTCAACAGGTCAGGCAGAATCTGTGGAGAGAATGCAAAGTTAAATGTTTCTGGTTCAGTGACATTTTTAGGATAGCAATAAAATTCTTTTCTGCTTGCTACACCTGTTTACTTTCAGTGACTGGTGCACAAAGATATCCAGGTCTCGGCGAACATTCCCCTTCCTTAATTTATAGCTACTCAGTAATAACCTGCCTTCCTATTTTTGCTACCAAATGGATAAACTTACAGCATGCCCCAATGCTACTCCAGCTCTGAAGCCCATGCTTCCACAAGCTACAGCTGCAGACACATCCTGCACACATGATGTGCCCAGGTATCGGAACGTAAGAATTTGCAATTAGGAGTGGGAATAGGCAACCCAGCCCTTCAAGCCCACTCTGCCAGAAATGTGCCCAGTTTTCCACATAGAGCAAGAGGAGTACACCACAGCTTTGAGCTCTCCTGCCAAGATATACCCATTTAAATTAAACCTTTTGGAAGATGCTTAGTATCAAAGAATATCAATTTCTCTACTGCCGTTGTTTCCTGATCCTTCTTACTATAGAATGCAGCCCGTAGAAACTATAAGCTACCAAAAGACCTTACAAACTATAAGCAATCCTCAACACCAGTACCTCGTAAGGCTGCGTACTCAGTCCCCTACCATGCTCCTTATACACTCAAGACTGTGTGGCAAATTCTGCCCCAAACCTATTTACAAAACACTTCACAATAATGATCTGCCTTTATATGGATATTTAACATAACAAATAAAAAACTTCCAAAGAGCTTCACAGGAATATTTCAGGCAACAACTGAGAAAATCCAAGCCAAGCAAAAGAGGTACGAGGGCTGATATGCAGAAGCTTGATCGTTTTGATTCATTTTGCCTTGTTGGAGTTTCTTTTTGAGTTTGCCATGATCATGTATAGTAGATGTAAAAGACAAGGAGAAAGTCTCACCACTCAGCCATTTGACAGAGTCCTCTGTGCGGATCTTTTCTTGCCGTCCTATATTCTTAACTACAGCTGGGTCCTTGCCCTGAAAATCAATTGCTGTGGCTGCATATAGCACTCCATCTGAAAGCAAACACACAAATGGGAGAGATCAATCAATCTACAGCATTACCCAGCCACCAAAATCCACATTCATGCCAACTGTATTCATTAAGACTATTCAAGGGAACACCACAAGCACAAAGTGCAAAATGCTATGAAAATCCAAATTCAACAGCTAGACAGGTTGAACAGATTAGGCAATGTCTGTGGCGACAGTTAAGAGATCTTTTATTAAATGGGAAGACACAGCAGTACGGTGATCAGAGGCACAAGAGGCAATACCAGACTAAGCTTGAAACCCAGACCAACCACACGGATACCCATCATTTGTGGCAAGGCTTACATGTCATTACGGCTATAAGCGAATTCAAACAGAATCATACATTCCTACCAACAATGCTCAACGCATTCTACGCTCACTTAGAGCAGAAGGTCAATGAAACGATATCACCTATCCCAACAGCCTCGGATGCACCTGCACCCAGGGGCAATGCTGCAGACATTAGATCGGCCTTCTTGAGAGCAAACGCACAGAAAGTGAGTGGCCTGGATGGAGTCCTTGACCATGCACTCAGATCCTGTACAGACCAGCTGGCGACAGTATTGCAGACATGGTTAACCCTTCCTTACTATGATCTGAAGCCCACATCAAGAAAACCACCACCATCCCAGTGCCAAAGGAAAAAACATCATGCAGTGTGCCTCAATACTGCCCAGTGGCTCTGACCTCCAACATTATGAAGTGCTCTGAGAGGTTAATCATGGTTCACATCAACGCCAGCCTACCAAATTGCCTTGATCCTTTGCAATTTGCCTACCAGCACAACATGTCGACAGCAGATGCCATCTCATTGGTCCTATCCTCATCCTTGGAAAATCTGGATAACAAGGATACCTTCATCAGGCTCCTACTTATTGACTACAGTTCCACCTTCAACACCACAATTCCAAACAAACTCATCTCCAAACTCCAAGAAGAATAGATGACAATACCTCCTCCACCATAATCCTCAACACCACCAGTGCCCCGCAAGGCTGTGTACTCAGTCCCCTACTGTACTCCTTATACACTCACCACTGCATCAAATTCCATCCCAACTCCATTTACAAAACGACACCACCGTTGTAGTTCAGATCACAAACAACGACGAGACAGAATACAGGAAAGAGACTGAGTGCTTAGCGGCATGGCATAAAGACAAAAATCTCTCCACTAACGTCAGCAAAATGCTGGTCACTGACGTCAGGAAGTGGAGTGGAGGGTCCGCCCCTGTCTGCATCAATGGTGCTGAGGTGGAGATGGTCAAGAACGTCAGGTTCCTGGGAGTGATGGTCACCAACAATTTGTCCTGGTCTGCCCATGTCAACATGACTGTCATGAAAGCACAACAGAGTCTCTACTTCCACAGGAAGTTAAGAAATTCAGCATGTTCTCATGACTCTTACCAATTTTTATAGATGCACCATAGAAAGCATCCTGTCTGCATGCTTGGTATGGCAACTGTTCTGCCCAAGGTCACAAGATACATAGAACATAGAACAGTACAGCACAGTACAGGCCCTTCGGCCCACGATGTTGTGCCGAACTTTTACCCTAAACCTAAGGTCTATCTAACCTCCACCACTACCTTATACGATCATCTCTATACTCTCTGCTGGAGTGGCATGATGGCACAGTGGTTAGCACTGCTGCCTCACAGCACCAGGGACTTGCGTTCAATTCTAGTCTCGAGCGACTGTCTGTGTGGAGGTTGCACATTCTCCCCGTGTCTGCGTAGGTTTCCTCCTACAGACCAAAGATACACAGGTTAGGTGGATTGGCCATGCTAAACTGCCCCATAGTGTCCAGGAATGTGTAGGTTAGGTGTGTTAACAATGGGAAATGCGGCGTGGTGGGGGGGGGGGGGGGGGGTGAGTCTGGGTGGGCTTGTTGGGCCGAATGGCCTATTTCCACACTGTGGGGATTCTGTGATGTGCCTGATGGGGAGGAGGGAGTGCAGAACCACAGGTGACAATCTAAGGATAAGGAGTAAACCATTTAGCACTATGATGAGGAGAAATTTCTTCACCCAGAGAGTGGTGAGCCACAAAAGCAGTCAAGGCTAAAACAATGTAAGATTTTGAGCACTTGCAGCAAAAGTGATCAAAGGGTATTGGGGAAAAGCAGGAACGGACTATTAAGTTGGATGACCAGCCGTGATCATAATGGCTTGGAGAGCTGAATTGCCTATTTCTGTTCCTATTTTCTATTTACTGTTTCTATATTTTGGAATTCAGTCTAGCAGTCATAATAAAGTAGCCTGTGAACAATAACAACAGAAACAGATGGCCAGACATATCATTTCCCCCACAGGGAGGCAATGGCCTAGTGGTATTATCGCTGGACTGTTAATCCAGAGATCCAGGTGATGATCTGGAGACCTGGGCTTGAATCCTGCCACGGCAGATGGTGGAATTTGAATTCAATAAATATCTGGAATTATGGGTCTAATGATGACTGTGAATCCATTGCCGATTGTCAGAAAAACCCATCTGGTTCACTAATGCCGTTTAGGGAAGGAAACTGCCATCCTTACCTGGCCTACATGTGACTTCAGACCCACAGCAATGTGGTTGACTCTTAACTGCCCTCTGGGCAGTTAGGGATGGGCAATAAATGCTGGCCCAGCCAGTGACACCCTCACCTTGTGAATGAATAAAGGACATGGCCATATTACAAGGTGAGTTGTGACATGACTTGGAACAAATGCAACATCACTGGGGTGAGTCGGGGAGCACATGACTTAGGCCTACTCTATCACTGCCATTTTTCTTGCAACACTAATGTCATACACTAATGGATAAACATTGAATGTTATTGGTCAACAACTAAATTACTGTTGCGTCACTTGACTGGAATTCAATCTGAAGAAACGTGAGGTAATGGACTTGGGCAGGACAAACAAATTAAGGGCATACATGATGAATGGTAGCACCCTGGAAGCACCAAGAATCACAGAGACCTTAGTGTGCATGTCCACCGATCCCTTAAGATATAAGGGCAGGTGGCTTAAGTGGTTAAGTAGGCAAATGGGATACATGCCTTTTATTGGCTGAGGCAGGGAGGTTTTGTTGGAGCTGTAGAAATGTTGAATAGGCCACAATTAGAGTAGTGTATGCATGGGGAGGTGATAGCCAAGTGATAGTATCACTGGACTATTAATCTAGAGATGCTGGTAATGTCCAGGGGACTAGGTTTCAAATCCCGTAGATGTTGGAGTTTGAATTCAATAAAAATGTGGGATTAAGAATCTAATCATGACCATGAATCCATTGTTGATTTTTGGAAAAATCCATCTGGTTCACCAATGTTTTTTAGGGAAGGACATCTGTCACCTTGCTTGGTCCGGCCTACATGTGATTCCATACCCACAGCAATGTAGTTGACTCTCAACTGCCCTCTGGGTAATGAGTGATGGGCAATAAATGCTGGCTGGCCAGTGATGTCCACGTCCCGTCAATAAATATGAAACAAACAGTCCTGGCATACACATTACAGGAGGGATGTGATAGCACTGGAGAGGATGCAGAGGAGATTTACCAGGATGTTGCCTAGGCTGCAGAGCTTCAGTTAGGAAGAGAGACTGGTCAGACTGTGGTTGTTTTCCTCAGAGCAGAGGAGATTGAGAGGGGATGCAAGACCCATATGATATAGGAGAAGATTCAGGCCATAAGGCTCATCGGATCAGCCATTCGATCATGGCTGATATGTTTCTCAAACTTATTCTTCTGCCCTCTCCCCATAACCCTTGATCCCCTTACTAATCAAGAATCTATCTCTGTCTTAAAGACTCTCAAGGACTTGGCCTCCACAGCCCTCTGTGACAATGTGTTCCAACATTCACCACCCTCCTACTGAAGAATTTTTTCCTCATCTCAGTTCTAAAAGGTCGTCCCTTCAATCAGACGCTTTGCCCTAAGGTCCTGGATTTCCTATTAATGCAAACATCTTCTACATATCCACTTTATTCAGGCCTCACAGTATTCTGTAAGTTTCAATGAAATATGATTTTGAGATGTACAAAATTGACAGGGCAGACAGGAAAAAAAAACTTTGCCCCTTGATGGAGGGGTCAATGACAAATGGCACAGATTTAAGGGGAGGGGCATGACGTTTACAGGAGATGTGAGGAAAAAACTTTGTTACCCAGACAGTGGTGGGAATCTGGGATTTGCCTGTAAGGGTGGTAGAGGCAAAAAGCCTCAAAAGATTAAGAAGTATTGAGATGTCCTCTTGCAAAACCAAGGCATATAAGGCTATGGGCTAAGTGCTAAAAAAAATGGATTAGAGTAGTTAGGTGATTGCTTTTGACTGGCGCAGATGCATTGGACCAAGGGGATTTCCTTTGCTGTAGACCTCTATGATTCTACGGCCACAGAGACTGCAGGAGATGTACTATTTCCTATATTTCTATGCGTCCTTGGATTGAAACCCCAGCAAGAGTCAGCTGTTTTAGGAGAGATAAACAGGGCCAGATTAATATCTTCCCATTTAGAATCACTTACCTGCCAAGGTAGCGGCAAATGGTTGCCTTGGTTCAAATGGGCATTTCCCTCGTCCCTTTTCCACTCCTTGCACTCTATCCTCTGATATTTTGACAGAATCTAAGATGTTCTGAAATACAGTGTTGCACATCTTTGAAAATTATGTACAATGCTGAAAGCTGCATATATCAATACACAGGGCCCTGTACTTTGCAGACAGAAAGAAAGTGTGGACATATGGAGTCTGTTTTAACTCAAAACAGAAGACAGCCATTCACTGATTCATTTCTCAGAAGCACTGGCCTGACCAAAGTTGATCAACTTGCATGGTTTGAAATATATATATTTTTTCCCAATCATCCTGTTCAGAAATCTTATTTCAAACCTCTGGACCAGGTGGTAATTGAAGCCATGTCTCCTGGCTCAGAGGTTGAGTCACTACCACATGCAACACAACAGTTCTACTGGTTTGAAATGTAAACAAAGCTTGCCAGGTAATAAAAACAAAGTTGCTGGAAAAGCTCAGCAGGTCTGGCAGCATCTGTGAAGGAAAAATTAGAGTTAACGCTTTGGGTCCGGTGACCCTTCCTCAGAACTGGCCAGATAATAGTCAGTCAACATTAATGTTGCTTTTTCCGTGGCAATGCTTCTACCAATCAAAATACACTTGCTAACCAATCAGCAATCTCCTAATTGTTAGTTTTCCCATTTATTGGTATTCTTGCAAATTGTCCTGGTGAGTGCAAGATAAAAAGGTTTGACAAAATATTTCAGCAATCCACAAATATGGTTTTACCAGCTAATATGCACACTGAAATCATCCATGATTATTGTTGTTCCTTTATCACAAGCATCTGATGTTTCTTGCAGTGTGCTTCTGCCTGCATCATGGTTATTATCGGAGGTCTGTAGATCACTCCCAGTAATGATTTCTTTCTCCCACCATTCCTCATCTCCACTCAAATCAATTCTACTTCCTATTCTCATGAACAAGGGTCATCTCTAACTATTGCACCAATACCATCCTTGATTAGGAGTGATACTCGTCCAACTTTAACTAGCTTCCTACTGTTCTCGAAAGTCATAAACCCTCAATATCCAGAGCCCAATCCTTATCATTCTGCAGCCGTGTCTCCATAATGGTTACCAGATCATATTCATCTACTTCCTTCTGCACAATCAATTTGTTTATTTTGTTATGAAAGCTAAGCAGATTCAGATATAGAGCTTTTCGTTCTTTTTGTCATCTTTTGGCATCTGATCGTTTTAGGATTTTTTTCACTCTATTCCTAACTGTCATTCTTTGACTTTCCATTTTTGTAGAAGTTCTTCTGGCACAACTCCAATCCTCGATTGATGACCTAGCGGTATTATCGCTGGACTGTTAATCCAGAGACCAAGACAATGTTCTGGGGACCCGGGTTCGAATCCCACCATGGCAGATGGGGGAATTTGAATTCAATAAATATCTGGAATTAACAATCTAATGATGACTGTGAATCCATTGTCAATTGTTGGAAAACCCCATCTGGTTCACTAATGCCCTTTAGGGAATGAAACTACCATCCTTACCTGGTATGGCCTACATGTGACTCCAGACCCACAGCAATGTGGTTGACTCTTAACTGCTCTCTGGGCAATTAGGAATGGGTGTGATGCACTCATCCCGTGAATGAGTAAAGAAAAAAAAGGATACATTTACCCAAACTTGATCCGTCACAATCTTGTTTAGCTTAAAGCCCTCCCTGCTTCCCTAACTACATGACTCATGAGAACAACCGTCCAGCACAGTTCGTGTGTACACCGACCAAACAGTACAGACCCCACAATCTCCAGTACTGGTGCCAGGGGCCTGCCAACCAGAATCCACTTCTCGCATTCACTTCTCTAATCTTATTCATTTGATGTCAATCTGCCTATGGCTCACGTGGCAGTCCTTTAAGGTTCTGCTTTCCAATTTAACCTCACACACCCTCAGCAGTACCTCTTTACTAGTTCTATCTACAGTGTTCATCCTGATGTGAATCATAATCACTGATTTTTTAAAAAATTCATCCACAGGATGTGAGTATCACTGGCTGGGCTAGTATTTATTGCCCACCATAGTTCCGCTTAAAAACGTGGTAGCGAGCTGCATTCTTGAACCACTGCTGTAGGTATACCCACAATGCTGTTAACAAAGGAATTACAGGATTTTGACCAAGCAGTACTGAAGGAATAGTGATATTTCCAAGTCAGGAATATAAGTGGCTTGGAGGGGAACTTGCCGAAAAAGGTATTCCCATAGATCTGTTTCCCTCATCCTTCGAGATGGAAGTGGTCACTGGTTTGGAAGGTGCTGTCTAAGGATCTTCAGTGCATTTCTGCATAGACCATTAAATATATAGAAACAGAAGTACGCTGTTCAGTCCCTCGAGCCTGTTCCATCATTCAGCAGGATCTGACATTCCTCAAGTCCACTTTCCTGCCTTTTTCCATCCCCTTGGATTCGCCAACTGATCAAGATTCTATCTCAGCCTTAAATGTACACAAGGACTGTACTTCAGCAGCTGTCTCTGGCATGAGTTCCAAAGACTCTCAAACCTTCTGAAAGAAGAAATTCCTCCACATCTCACTCTTAAATTGGGGCCCCTTTATTCTGAGGTTATGCCCTATGGTCCTAGACTCTCCCATGAAGGGAAACATCCTCTCAGCATTTACCCTGTCAAGCCCTTGAGAATTCTATCAGCCCCTTCACTCCAGTGAGTAGAGGCACAACCTGTTTTAGATTCCGTACCTGAGATCATCCTAGAGAACCTTCTCTGAACTGCCTCCAAGAAACAATGTCTTTCCTTAAATAAGGGGGAAACAAAACTGCTCGCAAGTCCCACCAGCACCTTGTACAGTTGCAGTAAGACTTCCCTACTCTTATACTCCAACCCCCTTGAAATAAAGGCCAGCATTCCATTCCTGATTACCTGCTGCCCCTGTGTGCTACCTTTCTGTGTTTCATGCACAAGTAACTCCAAGTCTCTTTGTGTTGCAACTTACTCAATTTACATAATTCTTTGATGCTTTGCAATACCATCGGTGGTGGAGGGAGTGGGATGTTTGTGGATGTGGTGCCAATCAAGTGCGCTGCTTTGTTCTGGATGGTGTCAAGCTTCTAGAGTGTTGTTGGGGCTGCACCCATCCAGGCAAGTGGGGAGTATTCCATCACACTCCTGACTTGTGGCTTATAGATGGTGGACAGGCTTTGGGGAGTCAGGAGGTGAGCTATTCACTGCAGGGTCACTGGCATTTGGCCTGCTCTTATAGTCACTGCATTTATACATTTTTATTCTACCCATCTCTGGCTGGGCCAGCACTTATTGCCCAGCATATTTTGCCCTTGAAAAGGTGGCGGTGAGCCAAGTTTTTGAATGACTGTGGACAGACTGTATGTGATGTAGACAGACCGACAACGCATTAGACAGGGAGTTCAACAATTCTGACCGAGCGACAGTGAAGGAATGGCGATATATTTTCAAGTCAAGGATGGTGAATGGCTTGGAGGGGAACTTGCAGGTACTGTTGTTCCATTTAGCTGCTATCCTTGTCCTTCTAGATGGAAGTGGTTGTGGGTTTGGAAGGTGCTGCCTAAGGATCTTTGTCAAATTTCCAGAGTTTATTTTGCAAATAGTACACAATGCTGCATCTGAGCATTGGTGATGGAGTGACTGTACGCTCACAGATGTGGTACCAATCATGTGGGGTGCTTTGTCCTGGATGGTATCCTGTTCCTTGAGTACTGTTGGAGTTGTACTCATCCAGGCAAGTGGGGACTATTCAGTTACACTCCTGACTTGTGCCTTGTAGATGGTGGACAGGCTTTGGGGAGTCAGGAGGTGAGTTACTCAATGTAATATTCCTAACCTCTGACCTGCTCTTGCAGCCGCTGTGTTTATATGGTGAGCCCAGGAGTTTCTGGTCAGTGGTAACCCCCAGGATGTTAATTATGGGGGATTTTGTGATGGTAACACCACTGAATATCAATGGACAGTGTTTAACTTCTGTCTCATTGGAGACGGTCATTGCCTGGCACTTGTATGGCACAAATGTTACTTGCCACTTTTCAGCCCAAGTCCAGATATTGTCCAGGTTTGCTACATTTGAATGTGGGCTGCTTCAGTATTTGAGGAGTCAAAACTATTTTCTGAAGAGGGGCCATATTGAACTTGAAATGTTAATTCTTTCTTTGCAGGGTTAACAGTACTGTGTTTGTTGTTGACATTTCCAGTTATTATGTCCATGCCAGGTCATTTGCCTGGCTTCATTCCTTTTTTGAGACATCATTCTCGCTCTGGCCTTTATCCGTTGAAGTGGGTCTTAAGGTGGAGGAATTTCAATAACTGTTCTTTTCCCGTCTGTTGAAAGTGCTACTCCTGACGTCACTAGGGAGGAAGCAGTCCCTTAATCAACTTGGTTAACTCCAGCTCCTAGTTTCAGCTTCCCTTTCTCATTGCATGGTATTGCATTTCCTACTGACCAGTTCCACACTACCAATACAAATAGGAAGTAGGTAGATGTGGTGGACAGAATGGGGAACTTATTTAAAAAAAAACTGTGGATGCTGGAAATCAGAAATTAAAACAGAAATTTCTGGGAAAACTCAGCAGGTCTGGCAGTATCTGAGAGAGAAAGCACAGTTAACACTTCAGGTCCAGTGACCCTTCTTTAGAACTGTTTTTGTTGGAAAACTTATTAACCTACTGCTAGCCTGAAGGCATTTAAACTCAGGAATCCTTTATAAATGCATTTACACTGCCATAAAGGAGGGGTGTTTATTAAGGTGGGTGAGATTTGTTTGCTCTCAAGTTTCAGCAGCAATATTGATTATGAAAAATACACTTACGATATATGCACAACGAGGATCAAAAGCATATGTTCCACAGGCAAAGAGGTGTGTCTCATTCCAGGCTTTCAGAATTCGAATATAGTTATGGCATTTAGTCTATATTAACAAGAGAAAAAAAAGACAGGGCATTAGTCAATTAGAACATAGAACATAGAACATAGAACATTACAGCGCAGTACAGGCC